GGTGTCCTGCTGCGGTGCTAGCTCCCTGCTCCTGGAGGTCGTTCTTGGGTGACTGGAACCCAGCCCCGTGGGTGCCACTGAATAAAAGGTTCTGTTCGAATGGCTTAGAAATGCCGGCCTCTAGAGGTCGTTCCTGGGTGACTGGAACCCAGCCCCATGGGTGCCACTGAATAAACGGTTCTGTTCGAATGGCTTAGAAATGCCGGCCTCTGCGCGACGTGCGGCAGTTCTGGACAGCGTTCCCGCCCCGAAGGGACGTCCCTGAATAAACGGTTCTGTTCGAATGGCTTAGAAATGCCGGCCTCTGGACAGCGTTCCCGCCCCGAAGGGACGTCCCTGTGTGGGTCAACGTGAAGTGGCCACCACGGGAAGGCCGTGCCCTCCCAGGGAGTGGGGACAAAGGCTCCCGGGGTCCCGCACCCGCGGAAGGGAGATGCGGGCAGGAGGTCGCCGCGGCCATCGTGGCGCGCGCGTTAACGTCTCCGAGGCGGCGGGTGCGTGGACCGGACCCGCGAGGCCGCAGCCTGGGCGCGGAGGGGGCCGGGCCTCAAGCTGGGACACGCCGCGGGCCACCGGCCACGCCCATCGCAGCTGCTATTTGCGCGGCTGTGAGGCCTGTGTTCTCTCTTTGTCCTGGAAGCCCTTCAGTTATCCTATTGTGGCTCTGCTGGCCTCAAGTGACCCTGCGCCGCACACCTCATTCCGAGGGCCAGGACCAGTGGGGGTGAGCGCGCGGGGCAGGCGACAGTGCCCTCGCGTCGCCGCTGCCCAGATCCGCCCTGCGGACAGCCAGGTCGCAGCGTGCTGCCGAGGCCTCGCCGGGAACGCGCTCCCGCGGACCGCAGCGTCATCCCGGGCTGTGGCCGGGGGCGACGGGATGTGCTCCGCTGACCCGGGACACAGGGACAGCAAGCCCCGGGCCACCGGCCTCCCCGCTCTGCCCCGGCCGCTCCACCCACACACGTGCACGCGGCCCCACCTGGCCTCCGCCCCTTGTGGGACCGCTTCTCTCTGTCACCCACTTCCTGTCGCCAGACCCGTCTGCTCATCCGCTGTAAAGGGTTTGACGGCGCAGGTGACTGACAACCGTTGGTCTGTGTGCATCCTATTCATCAGTCTACAGGGTGCTCAGATGGCTCCCTCAGCGCCATGTGGCGGTCGGGTCTGGCCCACAGCTGACATCGTCCCCAGACAGAACCGACACATTGTGCAATTGGGAAGGGTCACAGAAGGCAGAGCACGGACTGAACGCTGGTGGTACAAGTCCGAATTAGCGGGATAGCTGTACTCTGTGCTGGACTGAGAGCTTGATGACGGTGGGGACTGTGCCCCGAGCTCCCAGAGCGATGCTGGGCGTGTCACTGCCCCCCCCGAATGTCCTCTGTCCTGTGCAGTGGGCCCGTTGCAGTGGGGCGGGTGCTCTCCCAGCCCGATGACTTGCTGCTCCCTGAACCTCCTGGTGACACAGCAGTGGGACGAGCCGCCCTGACCGCAGGGACCGGTGGGGCCAGCCTGAGCGCCCTTCAGAGCTGTCATTCCGTCTGTGTGTTCTGAGTCCCCATCACTCCTCCTGGACAATGGGCAGCTCCCCTCCCCACCCCCGTGTGCTCGCCAGGAGGCCAGGACATGAAAGGGTGCTCCCGCCCCCGGGGACTCTGGGCCTGCTGGGCAGGGTGAAGACGTTTCAGCTGAGCGGGTCTCGTTTCCATGCGGGCAGCGGAGAGCTCCAGGTGGAAGGCGAGGTCCAGCTCTAAGCTGCTACGGGGGTGACACATGCACAGCCGTCCTTGGCTGTGGACTTGGGGCCTTCGTGCCCCCTGCCAGGGCTGTCCTCTCAGCTCCGGTGTGTGAGCTGTGGGTCACAGGTCACGCTGGAAGGAGCCACAGTCTTTCCGGAAAGAGCAGTGCTGCCCCCTCGTGGACACGTCTCTCCTTTGTCCCCACAACTTCAGGGGACCTCGGGCTTCCCTCGCCTCAGCGGAACTACCTGCTTTGTTTGAGCCCCATGACTAGGGAACTCGGAGGGAGGGGACGGGGCAATGACACCTCCCTTCTTGCCTGGTTTTCAAATGACACAGACCGCGTGTGCCGTGCGTGGGTGTGGGGTTCCGGAAAAGCCGCGGGACAGGGCTACTGCGGACCAGCCCGGTTCCCCAAAGCGCGGATGGTGCCCGCGTCTCCCTCCCGGCCACCTGCCCTGAAACTGTTCTCTCCCTCTTTGGGGGCTGGGCAAAGCCGTCTCGGGGGTCGCTGTCAGAAGCCCGGTCACAGCAAGGGGCTCGAACGTGCGCTCTAGGGTTACCTGCCACCTGCTGAGAGATATCGCAGCCCTCTGAGGGAGTGTCCCGTGAAACAGAAGAGCAAACCAGTTTCAGAAGCGTCGCTGCCTTAAGGGCTGGCTCTGCCTGCAGAGGGACGTGGAGGAAGCGAGCGTGTGGCCTGTTGTGCAACGTGTGGTTTCGAGCACGCGGGGTGTGAGCCGGCAGCTGCTGGCGCCTGTGCCGGCCATTGCCAGCCCCGGGCTGCGAGCTTTTCCAAGTGCCCGCTCGGGGCTCTCGCCGGCCTGAGACAGCACCGTCCGCCCGACTTTCCCAGACACCTGGAGTCCCTGTGACCTCAGAAAGGAGGTGGGTAACAGGCGATGGCCCTTGTGTGCCCCTCACAGCCCCGGTGCTTCTGACACGTGGACAAAGTGATTGCCAGGAGCTGGAGGATGATTGTGAAATGCTTGCCGATGACTCACGGTCCCAAGGACAGTGAGAAGCCGTGGCCTCTTGTCACGCTCAGGGAGCTTCTGTTTGGTCCAGAGAATTTTTTGTGAGGTGCAGGGAGCTGACTGCACCCGGAGTGACGTTCATAGAGCGCTTCGGAATCCCCAAGATGAGACCGCGAGGTTGACGGCCGTGGTCATTCTAGCTTCTCGTACGCCGTCACCCTGCGCCTGCAGACCGGGGTCCAGGGCAGCAGTAGGAGCGAGAGACGTTCAGGTCCTGCCGGCAGCTCTGCAGGGCCTCGCCGTCTGCATTACTCGGTGGCCGGGCACAGTGACGGGGACCCCGCAGGCCACCTTCCTCAGGGGCAGTGAAGTGAGGACATCCTCCCGTGGACAGTCTCCCGTTTCCCCTCTGTTGTGACTCAACCTGAAGCCAGTGTCAGTTGGGCACGGCCCGGAGGTGGCGGCGGGCGGGAGCGCACCCTAATCCCCGCAGCGGAGAGGGCCCGGTGGGTGCCGCACACTCGTCCCACAGTGCGAGTGGTGCCCGCGCTGTGGGCACTTGGGAGCCACGGTGTGCGGAGTGGGCAAAATTTGCTGCCCAAGAGATGACAGAGCCAAGTTTGGGACGTGACTGAAACGTCTGTGCTTCCGCTGGCTTTCACATTGGGCTCCAGATTATAATTCTCCGAACCGAATATCTACCTGAGGTTAAAGTGGGCCGCCAGAGGGATTGCGCCATTTTCATAATTTAAGGAAAAGGCTCGTTATTGACCTTTCTCATTCTATATCATATAAATGTCATATATACGCATACGTACGTAGTGTGTGTGCATCTGATAGCGACGGAATCACTTGCATTGTTACGAATAACCCTAAAAGCAATGACCCAGGGGAATAATAGGAACGGTGATGTCTGCTTTAAAAAGAAGTATGTTTACCCACAATAGTAAAACTCACTCTCCTCCGTGTATGAAACCTCAGCTGTCATTTCCGTGGGCGTTTACACACGCGTGGTTGGACTATGTGAGTGAGGAGCTAACGTAAAACACCTCCCTGCGGGGGACAGACGGGCGTACTGCGGACGCCGACACCACGGTGCCTGCCCGTGTTCCCGCGGGCTCGGCCTCGCCAGCAGGAGGCCACCGCCTACGGCTCCCTCTCCTTCCCATGCCCCCGAGGAGCCGGCCCCCCTCCGAGAAGACGCCCTGAAAACAGGTGTGAGCCGTGAAGGAGCAGGGCCGTGTTGGGTCCCTTGTGCACTCCCGGCCTGACGGTCACTCAGTCAGGGTCGAGGTCCCCGCCCCCCGGGCGTTCAGGGCACGCTGAGCTGCTTTCCACGGAAGCTTCAGATGGAAAGTGTGGGAGGCGGGCTTGGTGGCGACGTGTGTGGGCTCAGGAGGGTGGGACTCAGAGAAGAGCAAATGAATCGGGGACATAAATTGGGGGGCGCGGTTTGTCCTGCCTACGAGTGATGCATAAAGAAGCTGTTTTCCTGAATAAGTGCAGACCGGGCCAGGGGCACAACGAGGCCACAGCCTGCAGGCCGGGCTGGCCCCGCACGGGCTCCGTGCTGCCTGTCGCCCGCGCCACTCCACACGCCCGTGGAGCCACCGGGGCTCGGACAGATGCACTTGGAGTCTCTGCTTAGCCCTGGGCTCTCCGGCGAGTCACCGTCACACGGCCGAGGTGAAGCCAGGAGCGTTAATGTAGAAGCCACAGGAGAACCTGTTTGTTCACTCCCGGGGAGCAGAGACGAAGGTGGGTGACAACACGTAAAGGCCGCGTGTGTCACGTCACGAGGGCACCACAAAAAAGCAGTTTCGTAGAAAACGGGTATCTCCTCGCACCTCCCGAGTCGGTCTTTGCAGTTAGAATAAGCCCGGTGTCTGGGCTCGGGGATGGTTTCACTTCCTCGTCGGCGCGTGTTTTCTGGGCGCTGTTAGGCTTCCTACCACCCACACACAGATAAGCGAATAGATGGTCAGAGAAATTTTGCATAATATGGAAAAATCTGGGAACTCTCTGACGTCTGTGTGTACAAAAAGACACGCAAAACGAAGCTAAAACAGGCAAAAGCAAGACGAGGAGAGACCCCCCCTTCCCCAGCCACCGGGGCTCCCCGTCCTCGCTTTATAGAGCCTGCACTTCGTAATGAGCAGATCCGTAGGTTACTCGTGTAATTAGAAAAAAGCCTTCCCCACCGAGGACGTATCTGCACACAACTGTCATACGAAATAACGTCTGGGACTCGCCTGTCACGTACCAAACACGTCGTTGTCCTCCGAGGCGTCCTGGGGTGGTCCGCGCCGGTCCCTCCTCTTCTCCGGCGCCCCCCTGGCAGCGCCACCATCCTGGAGAAGAAAACAAAACAAAACTCCTTCTTAAGACGCTCGCACATCCGGCAGCGCAGGTCACACACACCACCGTCCTCACGGGCCGAGCTCGCGCCTCGCTCGGGGCGGGCTCTGCGGAGCGGGCTCCGAATCCCGGCCCGTGTCCTCGGCCCCAGCGCGCGCTCCTGCCCCAGCGGATACGAAAGAAATGGCCCACCGACCCGGTCCGAGGAATTAGCCACCCCGCGCCCTATTTCCTAGCGACAAAGTTGGAGGAGATGATTCCCGGAGCCGCTGGGACGTGGGGAGGGACGCTCCCGGGAGCTGGCTCCACGCCCTTCCAGAGGACAAACAACAGCAGGGACCGTGGTGTCCCCCATGCCCTCCTCCTGACCCCGGGGCCAGGCAGAGGTCGGAGCCGCTGGGGACGTGGACCCACCCGGCCCCAGTCTCCTTCCCGTCCCCCCGGCAGAGCTGACGCTGTCAGGAACACCAGTCTTTCTGTCCACAAACGTCACAGTGCCTGGCACCCGGACGGTGCCATCGAGAAAACTATTTATGCCGTGTAAGAACAGTTCAAAATCGACAATTTCCGTTTCGGCAGAGGAGCCGCAGGTGGCTTAGGATGTGTTCTTTGGTCCATTGAACTCGAGAACAGAGTAAAACGCGAACAGAAGGAATTTCCCGACGGAGCCTTTGTCAGCTACAAATCCACGTCGCGTGTGTTCGCCGAACATCTGGCTTCCACACTGGTGTCCGTCGTCACTAACTACAGAGCGATCGCGTTGTTTGCGAAGTAATTAGTCGATGCAGCTCCGCTACCGTCTTTACTCCTGGGGATGGTTTTTCACGCTCTAGCGTCTGGGATCGGGTCGCCCCTCCCCACCGGCAGAGCCTCGGATCGGAACCGGCCGCGCATTCTCCCTCCTCGTGGTAGGTAACGAAGCGCCGAGCCCGGAGGCGATGGCATCTCGGGCTCAGGGTAAAAGTCTGATGTTTGAAGCAAATCTCCTTGCTTTCGACGAGTGGAGGGTGGTGACACGGTGACCCAGCTCCCGGCTCCCCCGCTCAGGCCGGAGGGCGCAGAGGCGTCCGGGGTCCCACAGCCCTGCCCCTCGCAGACTTCCGACCCGCAGCAACATGGCCCCGCTGCTCACTCCTGACCTGCAGCGGCCACGGTGGGACCCAGAGCAGAGGGGACAGCCAGGACCTCAACGTCACCCCCCCGCCCCGAGCTTGTCCGCTTCTCGGCATCGGCCGTCCAGCCGGTGACCCGCATAGCACGTGGCACGGGCAGGGACGGTCGTGTTGCTCTGGGAATCACTGACTAATTTCTGTCCTGATCGAAAGCTTGCTTCTGAGGCCCGACGCCGCTGGTGCCCACGGACAGGGAGACATCCTTACGGACGGCACGTGCTCAGTAAGCAACGGGCCACAAACGGAACCACCAGAATCATGACGCCGTGTGTCCCATGCCACGGACGTCCCATGATAAAGAAACACGAGCTTCCTGTAAGTTCCAGAATGCAACAAAGCACCGCTAGACGGAAGAGGGCCGGTCCCCAAGACCCAGGAGCCCCCAGAGTGTCACTGTCCCAATGCGACCCGGGTCCCACATTCTGTCTGTGACCGCAAGTGTCTAAAGGCATCGCAAGCACCTGCGGCTTCTTCAGAAGAGTCGCGCGGCCTGTCGTCCGCCAGCCGCGGCCCGGGAGCCCGCGTGGGAACCCGCGCGCTTTCCCACGATCATTTTAGGGGAAATACGAGAAGACAAAAGTCTCGTAATGACAAATGTAAATTTAAAAATATTCCCTACCATGATGCAGCCCACTGATCAGCAGCGTCGCCCGACATTCTCTGTAAATCCGGCGACTTCCGGCCCCCCCAGCACTTTACCGTTCTACTCAGAGGTTTTCGTTTGTGCGTAATGAAAATGCCTTTTTGCCGGCGTGTTCTCTGCTTGGTGGAGGAGCCTTAATGGGTGCGCACGTCCGTGCGGACCCCTAGGAGTGTGTGCTGTCCCCTCTTGTCATTGCCCAGAGTGCAGTGACGCCCATCCCACTCGGTCCCAGGGCCCCCCCGGGGTGGGGGCCCGTCCTCTGCTGCGGGGTCTCTGGCGCTCGCCGGGCAGACAGCGTTCGCTCATCTTCGCCGGTCCAGGTGGTCGACCCGAACGGGAGGCGACGGGCAGGAGTCTGTCCGTCTTCAGTGTTAGAAGGGTTTAAAATTCTCTTTAAATACGAGTGGCTATTTCTTGCATTTCCTAAAGAAATCGCCTTTCGGATGTCTCTTTGTGACACGACTGGATTATAAACGTTATTTATGGGATGAGGAGGTGCTGGCCGTGTGCCCGGGACTGCTCGGCAAGGTCGGCAGAGCCAGTGGGGCGTCCACCCTTGGCAAGGACTTGCTCCTCCCAGATTCAAACGAGATCCAGTGAGGTCAAACCCAAGACCCCCACCGGGACTTAGCGAAGCTTCGTGACAGTGGAGTTAAAACAGTCCTATTGTCCGTGGGGCATGAGGTGTCACACACGAGAAGGTCCTGGGAGGCAGGGGTCAACGTCATTGTGCTTTGGCAATGTCACCTGTCTGTGGGGTCAAATCTCAGCCCTTCCATTATGTGTGTGTGTGTGTGTGTGTGTGTGCGCGTGCACGTGTGCGTGTGTGCATGTGTGTGTATGTGTGTGTGTTGTAATAAAATTGCTCTTATAACTTTGATCTTATTACTCAGCATTTTTGGTTTGTTTCTTGCAAACAAGGATCGTTCTTCTTCTCGCTTTAGGCTGGGTTCGGATAAGTAATGAAAGATACTAGCAACACACCGATTGCTCTTATAACTTTGATCTTATTACTCAGCATTTTTGGTTTGTTTCTTGCAAACAAGGATCGTTCTTCTTCTCGCTTTAGGCTGGGTTCGGATAAGTAATGAAAGATACTAGCAAAACACCGAAAGCTTTTCGGATCAAAATAAAGAATATGAAGAGACATGAAAACCAGGATTATGTAAACTGTCTCGTTTCAAAGGCATGTCTGTTTTTCAGAGGAATCGGAGCTGGGTGGGGACATTCCTGTGAGGGCAGGCTTAGCCTGTCCAGGCCAGGGCTTCTCCACTCGAGGGGGTCATCCCCCTGCCCCTGGTGAGAGCCACTGGCCTAGACAAGGAGAACATTAAGAAAAGGAGTGGAAGCCACGAGTCCATTTACTAGTGTCCTTGCTAGTAATGAATTTTTCCCTAAAGATACATTTTAACTCATTGAAACTCTGCTTTTAAAAGAACAATCTGAGAGCGGATACAATATGACAAGAACTAGAGACTGAAAGTGAGAATCAGATTTAATTTGGCCATTAAAACAAGTGCCACCTACACGATGCTTTCTTAGATTGACACCTTATATTTGTGCTTAAAGCACCAACAACAAAATAATGGGGAGACTGGACATCATCGAAATTAAAACATTCTATGCTGCAGTTGATACCACATAGAACAAGAAACAATAACTCAGAGAATGGGAGAAATGTTTGTAAATCATATCCGTGATAAAGGTCTAGTGTCTAAAATATGTAAAGAGCTCTTACAACTCAACAACAAAATGACACGTCATCCAATTAAAACCATGGGCAAAGGATGTGAAAAGACATCTCTCCAAAGAAGACACAGGAATGGCCAGTAAGCGCCTGGAAGATGCTTGACATCATTACCCGTTAAGGAAACGCACAACAGAACCACAACGAGACACCACTTCACACCCGCCAGGATGGAGATGATCAAAAAGGCTGTCGGTGAGGAATGAACAAGTCAAAATACACGTCGCTAGCAAAATGGGTCACCGCCGCAGAAAAGAGTTTGGCGGTTTCTCAAAAAATGGACCACAGAGGTGCCGTGTGACTCATCCAATCCGCTCCCAGGCATGTGCCCAGGAGAAACAGAAACACGTGCACACGAAACCACGCACATGAATGTCCGGAGCATCCACCGCAGTGGGAACAGGTGGAAACCACCCAAATGTCCACCAGGTAACGAAAGGAAAGATAAGATGTGGGCTCTGCCTGCACCGCATTCAGCAACGAGAAGGAACAGAGGGCTGTCGCACGCGGCCACGGGGACGGACGCCGAGGACCTGCACGCGAGAAGCCAGACCCGTGGGAACCGCATGCCGGGTCGTTCCAGATACACAAGACGACCAGGAGCGGCATATCCGAGGCTGGAATCAGCGTCACTCATGGCCTAGGGCTGGGGGTGAGTGGCCACGACCAGGGGGGACGGGGCTTTCTTTTAGGGGTGACAAAAACCTTATAGAAACAGACTGTGGTGATGGCTGCACAATCAAGGATGCGAAAACATATTGATTTGCACACTTTAAATGAATAAATTTTATGCTACGTGAATTAAATTTCACTAAAGCTATTAAAAGGATAAACAATACACACCCCATGCCAGGACTCCATGGAACTCGGGGTGCAGAGCAGGGAAGAAACGGGGTGAGGATGGGGCGCTGCTGCTCACGCCAGCTGGCCGGGCCATGTGGGACCAGCGTGCGGCTCAGGGCCAAGGACCAGGGTGGTTTTTAAAATGTGGGGAAGTAAACCCTTGGAAGGCTTTGCTGTTCCCTCTAATCGCTAGGCTGGTTAACTCTGCCTCTGGCTAGGGCGAGTCACTCGAGCGGACTTGTACATAAAGGCACCCGAGTGATTCCCGCGGAGCGCCGAGCCCCCCACCCCACGACCCCACGGGGAAAAGTGCAACGAGGTCACGAATCTCGGCGAGGCGAGACTTTGACCCCGTGATGCCCCGTTGAGACTCGTCTGTTTCTATGGTATCAGAGAAAAACACAGGAAGCATTTTTGATAACAACGATATGGAAAAATCCAGGGGTTTTTCTAAGTTAAGAAACCAAGAGAACTGAAAACACGTCTGCATGGAAACTTGTCCACGAGTTTTTATTTATAGCCACATAATTCATAGGAGCCGAAAGGTAGAAATGGCTCAGCCGTCCATCAACAGGTGAATAAATATACA